CATACAATGTTACGTCCGTTAATTGACACGTATACATGCAGTGCTTTCAATTTGAGAAAATTAGTCGATCGATCGCTTAACGAACGAGAGTTAGTTCAAGAAGTATTGAACGAAATCAAAACCAAAGTGGACGGAGGTATAATTAGTTATGGTAAGTTTTATATATATATATATATATAAGTATACACACACACACACACACACACACACACACAATTTTTCAACGCGATTCTGGTGACATTCGGATGTAAAATATATTGTTAACTACATAATTTTCCATTGGGAACACAAGATTGCTTATAAATAAAATAATATATACAGTTTGGAATCACTCAATTAATAAAGACTGAAAATTGTTTTTATATTATATATAAAATGATATCATTTCTTTAATAGGAGAGAGTTTATGCGTCGATCCGATAAAGAACTCCTTTAGACTGTTCGAAAAATGGAATGTCCTGATGTGTCACATGCAAGAGAACATTAAAATTTTTTACTTGAAAGAGGATTATGATACGGATGCGGCGACGAAAAATGTATACGATACCATAGCTGCTTTTAAGTGGGTTAGAAATATGGACTAAAATATATGGTGATATTTCCTATTTCAATTAAAAAGAGTTTTTGAATCACTATTTTTTTATATCTTTTATAAAAAATCTCATTAATTACACACACATAAGCTTTAATATCCAACAATTTTTTTTTCTTACGAACATTGTCGGACATGCGTTAAGTACACATAACTATATAATTTGTTTGCATTGCTTGAAATCTCCCCCAAATTTTTGCATCTAAAACAAGATATAGTATAAACATATACTTAGATTTAATCAAAGAAGCCGAAGATTTTAAGTGCAAAAAGTACAAGCAATGCGAACAAATCTTATAAATACGTATAGTATTGTAGTGTGTACTACAATATATATGTAAGTACATGCAACTTGTATATAACTTCTTTTATTGGAAAAAGATAAAAAAAGATATGATATGGTATATCACTTGTGAATGTTCCTAAAAATATACGTGATTTACATTCACAATGAAATACTTAAAAATCCTGTTTCACGATGTAGAACTGTACAGATGCAAAATTAAATCATAGCTGTAAGTTGGTTGTATCATAAAATATTTTTACGAATAAATAGATAATACTATATATTATAGAAATATGTTTATAGTTCTTTTTAATAAAAATAATCTTGTGCGTATATATATATTTAATAATTTCTCTCTTTTCGATTCTATTAATTTAACATCTTGCTACGTATATCTTGCAAAAACTTTATGTGCACTGCAATCTAACCGCTTCAGTATTTCACAATCGACGAAATCGGACAACTCCTTCTGAGTCCCATGCACTTTTCTCTGTCAATGAACAGTGCATCTATCTTAGATTTTAAATTGCTTTCCAGATTAGATCTCGTGCGTAAAAGTTGCTGATGTTGCGCCTCAGATTGTTGCAGTTTCATATTCAAATCATTCACTATTTTATTAATATCCTCTACTTCTTTGTTCATCCTATGAAGCACGCAAATATTGTTATCTGAATAGTGACACGTAAATGATTTTAACAAACCTGAGTTGAGCATCATCTTTGCATAGTTCATTGTCCGGACGATGCGTCCTGGCCTCCAGTCGCGTGTGCACCACTTTTAATACTGGACTTTTATCGGCGATAGTCTTTTGCATTAATGCTACATTCTTTTCGACGTCAAAAATCTCTTCCTGAATCTAAAATGTCCATATACAGATAATATCGAATCTTATGCATAAGATTTAATTAAGATTAAACAAGAAGGATCTAAAGACGTTAAGATTTTACGTGAAGATTTTACAATTTCAAATATTTTTTAGATGTTTTCTGAATTTTTCACATTGTTTATAATGTTGATAAAAATTTACAGACTCTTACTATGATCTTACATCCCAGTTTTTTGTTAACAAAAATGTTACCTTATGTAAATGCGTTTGTAATTTTTCTTTCGCTTCCAACATTTCGGCAATTCGTCTGTCCAGCGCTTCATTAGTTTCAGTCCAAGCTTCGCATATTTCGTGGACTACCGCATTTATAACATTGTCAATATCATTTCGCAATTGGTGCGATTTTGCTCGTTCCGTCTGCGATTTCTTCACTATACTATTTGTTGCTTCTTCCCAAAATTCAGGCGTAATAACACTGCATAAACATAGTTGTTATAGCTCCAGTCAGTAGAGAAATAAGGTGTACGAAGAACAAATAATATATCTTGCTTAGTAAAGTAAAATATGTTATTATAAAAATATCAATTTATGTGAAAAAGTTTCATTTTATAGTTTTTCTTTCTTTTTCAAAATAGTGTGCTTATAAATGAAAGCTTTCATAATTACCTGGGATCGTATCTTTCTATACCACCATAATATTGCAGACCTCGAGTAAGATTGTTCATCTGGTGACATACGTTATCAATTCCCAGGGTTGTTTCTTTGTTTTGTAAATCAATCTGTAGTTGATGCTGCACAGCTCTACCATTTGTTAACTGAAAAATATTATAGAGGAAGTCTTCAAGGTTGATACCACATACTATCGACAAACTTATGACATACCTGATTAATACATTTATCCATGATCTGTTTCAACTTTTTCTCACAGTTTCTCATTATTTCAACTTCTTCTAGCAGATCTTTTTCGACCTCATCATGTGTCAAATCAATGCCTATCAATATCAATTAATTAATTAAGCCTTCTAGGTGATGCAATCTAAAATATTCTTCCATTTTTTTACAATGATTGCTTATTTTTAATCTCAATATCGAGTCTCTTTATCTAATATCAAAAAATGAAGAACCTTTTCTCGACTCCCGATGATAAAGACATTCTTGCGTAATATGTAATGGTCTTTCAAGACTTTGGATCACGGTTTGCAATTTGCGACGACTGTCCTGCATTTTACCGTTTTCTATGATTAATCTCTCCAATTCTGATGCCACTTCATTCCGCCAGAAAGTAACATCTGTGATTCTTTCCCCGAGTTTTCGACCACTCTCTGTTTGTCCCTCTTTTACCTTTTCATCTACTTCTCTAAAATAAATATCACAACAACAATATATTTCAAGAAATACACTTAAATCATGATATAATTTATTAACAAATAATTTTTAAGATAACTGGGATAACTGGGATAATTAAATCAGTTTTAATATAATTAATATTATTTCTATTTTGATTGCATTGAATAACTTTCTGCAAACAAGTTCTTAATCTTTTTATAAATTATTTTATAATTTTATAGAATATCAAATATAACAACAAATGAAAAACTTTAAGGGTAGACTTTGTTAATGCAAAGTTAAAACAATTAATACATTACTAAATAATTTGATTTAAAAGAAACATCGACTCGAGTCTTAAAAATGTACTCCTACCGCATTAAGCATGCATTGTTCTTGCGCAATTTTTCAGAATAATTTCTATTCGCATTCGCTTCATTATAGAGTTTGATTTCATTCTGTATCCAATCACTTGGAGTGTATCGCGTGTAAAGCGCGGCACGTGCCGCATGCGAAGGATTGCGATCAAAACCGGTTACCAAATTTGGAAATTTCAGTGGCTCTGCCGCCAATCCACGTGACGTGCGACAAGCATCCACCAGCAGATTCGTTATTGGCTGTGCAGATCTAACATATTACATTATGATTAATTTGAATAAAAGAAATTCATTTTTATTTTTTATGTTAAAAATAGCGTAGACCTTTAAATTGGATTTTATTCATCTTTTACTTTTTCAAATTGGAATTTATGTATCAGTGAATGTTAGAACTATAGTAAATTACTCACAAGGGAGTCACCTCTACGACCTCGTATCCCAAAGTAGGTCGCCAGGGATGCGGCCTTGGAGTCTTGTAAAATTCTCCAACTCTGGTTGGAATCGGAGGACCTGCGACCTGCTCCATACATGGTAAAACGCCGACTGTACTCCATGGTTGAAGTTGCTAGACATAATAATAGATGTTTGAGTAATAAGAAATGAATAAATATAACATTAATTGAAAATCCCAATAGACATGGTTTGCTCCTCGAATGTTTTTGCATACATATTACAATAAATAAAATCGCTGTCACAATTTCTTATATTTTAATCCTACATCTGATTAATATGAAATTGACAGAATCGTTTAATCGATATTCAATACGATATAATACGTAATACTTAATAATAATAATAATAATATTTACGGAGTACATAACGGTTTCAATCCTTTTCTCGGTTTTAACGTTGACCATGATTACAATAAATTTCGTAAGTTTTTTTCCACGTTTTTCGAAGAAGAGATAGCAATTCAACGCAATTTCGAAATGCGATTAACTTGAAGTAAATCAAATATGATTTGGAAAACTCAATGCCTACTCCGAAGTCATGATGCAAGTAGACATGTCTACTTACATCATGCTTCGAAATAATCTCTATCATGAAAGTAACCAAATGAAATAATAAAATAATAATATAATAATAATAATATATAAAAGAACATTTTTCTTTTTTCTCCTTTCTTTTTTTCTCGAATGATTCTGAAAATATAATACCTACTCCAAAACTAATAATAATAATAATAATAATAATAATAATAATAATGAAATAGTACAACAAAAATAGTGTAATAATAAACGTTTTATTAAGTGTGAATATACAACAAGACATGTTAATAATATAATTAACGTACACACACAATATAATATATACACATCAATATAACAAGAATATTTTCCTTTTTTTCTCAAGTGATTTTGAAAATGCAATACCTACTTCAAAATAATCAAGTAAAATAATAATAATAATAACAATAACAATAAATTTAATAAATCTATATATTGTTCGCTTTTAATATGTTGCGGTGTATGCCTTTTATAATATTGTTTTGAATAACAGTAATAATAATAACCGTAACAGTAAAAATAATAATACATATATAATAAGAATATTTTTCCTTTTTTTCTTGATAATTTTGATCACTTCGCCATTCTCATCTAGGCGGGGCGCCTTTTCAAAATCCGGAAGTGCATCGGCCACGTGATGCGAATCAGCGTCACGAGGTAATAGTCAGGTGCTTTCGGAGTGCCTTCTGCTCTATTGAATCAGTTACTGTGCGTACGGTTCAGCGTGAATTCGCATTTGTTTGACCCGGCCTCAACTCGACTTCCAGGATGATGAGAGGCACGGGAAAGCCGAGCAATATGGTCCGCGTGTCATTCTTCGCACTGTTCGCTGTCTGTCAGCTTGCCTTCGCCTGCGCCTGCACGCCCGCTGTGATCTGGTCGCACAATTCATCCGATATCGATGCGATGTACAGAACGGTACCGTCGAGTCCGTTGCAGAAGCTGACTCCCGACGAGTTCGAAAGGAGCCTGTTGCAGTTGAACGTTACCGAGCCAGTGATCGTCGTTGAGGAGCTGTGTGTCGAGGATCTGTGGAATAACAAGGTTAGTTCTCTTCGCCCCTTCCTGGCTATTTATCTGCGGCTACAAAAGAGATGCTTATCAGAAAGTCTTAGGTCCAGTTCCATAACTCACGATTAACTTTTAATCGAGGTTCAACTTGTTTCTCGTCTCTTTTCAATTCTAGAATTGGAAAAGCAATGAATAAATTGAACCTCGGTTAAGACTTAAGCGAGTTGTGGAACTGGACTTTAAGAAGGAATATAGGAAAAGATAACAGAGAAAGAATCCGTGGAAAGAAATCTCGAATTTCGATTGCATCTGGTTCACATTAGTCTAGTGTATAATTTCTTCCAAAGCATTCATTCACATTTAAAGCAGCATTTGAACCAAAATAAATCGATAGAAATATGTTTGATTGCATTCTTTCCATTACTTCAATTCACAAAGTCTCTATTTCTAACAGAAACAGCACACTAAATTTAATCAATATAAAAGTGGAATTGAGAATTTTGATAGAAAGTAGACCACTGTTGCAATACTATTGTCGTAAGTTTTAATCTGTTATCTGTCTCATTTCTTACACACCTTTTTTCTTTCTCTGGAGTATGGACATTTATTATAATTTAAAATGAAAGACAATATCCAATATACAATACAAGAAAATATCCTCAAATTTTCATTGAATATTTAATGGTAATAAGACTATTTAGTTTGTTCGCTATGATTACATATTTTTCCATTTTACATGCGTATGTTTTAATGTATTATCAATAATGATAGTTTAGAATTATATTTTTGTGCATACTTTTCTTCCCCTGTGGATTCTAGAAATGTATTTGTTATAACTTAAAAATAAAAGATACACAGAAAGAAATTCCTAAACTTACGTTGAACTAATAGCAATAAGACTATTTTAGTTTGTTTTATTATGATTTACAAATATATTTTCCATTCTACATTCGTATGTTTATTAATATATTATGTTTGAGTGCTTTTTATCTAGTGATACAAGTCGACACAAATATTTCTCGGTATTCAGAGAGATAACAAAAAATGATAACAATAACTTGCATCGCCAAATAGAAAACATACAGTAATGAAATTTAGAATTAAAAACAGATACATCAATTATTTTTTTTAGAGAATCTTTCAGAAATCATAAAGTTGTTATAAATGTATAAATGTTGCAGGTGCTGTCAAATGCCACTAATGGTTCCAAAATATTTTATTTCCCATGTGTCGATTCGCCCAACGAGGTCTTTCAAAAGATATATAAAAAAATAATATCAGGGAATGTTAATGAGTTCAACATGATCTTCAAGGACATCGATTTGAGCGGATGCATAGCACTTACTGGAAAACAGTGTCGTTACAGCACTGAGCGAATAAAGAGAGAAGCGCTTGCGGACAATTCTACTTCAGAATTCAAGATAAAAACAGACAATGTTCTGTTGTATTCCGCTCAACCATTGATACTCAAGGTAAATAACATTAATAAAATATTAATATTGCTTAAGAAATTTTAAACCAAATTTCTCAAGTGATTTTAAGACTTTCTCTTTATAATTTATGTATTAAGTGATAAAAGAGAAGGAATTTACAAAAAACATGAACCTATTCGATGTCAATTAATTTAGAAAGACTAAAATTAAAGATAATACAAAAAAAGTCTTGTGCCATTGCAGATATCTGACAAGCCAGAAGTGCAGCTTGTTCAATCTAAAGTCAGCGGAATGTCGTCTCGTAAGAGCAATGAGAGCACGGTGATCTTAACTATCAAGCTCACCGATCAGACCATCAACAATCTAACACTCGAGTTTTTCTTCGAGGTCAAAAGCGCCGGCTACTACACGTTGAACAAAGTGACGACCAATGGAGTTGATCTATTCACCAAGCGAGACATTTCTTTTCCGTTCGGTTTCTCTTATCATTGCTCGCCGAAAACTACTTTCACGGACGGTACTACATTCTTAAGTATCACGGATATGCAAGTACAGGTCGATCACAAAGATGCGACGTTTAGCGACGCGTACGACTGCGTTGGTTTTACCAGTATACCAATTTGGACGGGGATATTCGTGACGATAATACTGGGCTTGATCATGATATGGGCGCTCACCATGATCATGGATATCCGCACGATGGACAGATTCGATGATCCTAAGGGGAAAACCATCACGATTTCCAGCGCGGAGTAGAATAAAAATAATAATAATAATAATAATGAAACTTATAATGTAATTGTAAGTATTGAATATTCGTGCGAAATCTATTATCAGATAAGATCATGTCGATTGTTCACGATGATGATTGTTGTCTTGAACGTTTAATGTCTCTAATTTGAGTGTCACATGTTTTCACAAAAATCAAGAAAGTATTGAGTAGTGATGATAATACTAGTCTCATTACGAACTTTCATTATGAACTTTCGCTCGATGTATAAATATCATTCCTTTGTACAATATTATTATACTTTCGATATTTATAATTGTTCGCTATTGTGAGTTTGTTGTTTGTATGATACAATGGTTATGAACTGTTATTTTAGTATTCAGTCTTTATGAAAAGGATAAAAAATCCTTCGAATGAAGGTAGCACAATATATATTAAATAAAAATACGAACAATAAGTGTTCTTTTAAACACAAGAATATATTATATAATACGCAATAGAAAAAGAAATTGTATAGCCAAATTACATACAGCTACATACAATGTTATTGTCTGTTACTATTTGTAACAGGCAATGTACATTATATCAGAAATGATAGAAAAAAGCAGATTGTAAATTGAGAACTGTTATACGGTAGACAAATAAATTTCTACTATGGCCTCGCGCCTTCTATAAACAGTTCTGATGTCTATATAAGCTTCCTTGTTAATAAGAGTTTGTAAAAAAATATGTAACATAAGTTATAATAAATGTTTAATATAATGTATAAGAAATATATACAATATAAACGTCCTGTAAAATCGATTTGTCGCCTTTTTTAAAAACTTATTCATGCCGAACATGCAAGAACATTGGTACCATGAATTATCATAAACACCATAGAATATGGTGGTAATAATACGGGATTCGCAGGATTTAATATCACAGGTCGAAACGGCGGCAAATCACCATTCGGTCGCAGTTTTAACGCCTCAGCTTCGCCGTTCAACTTTATCTCGCTGCAAAACAAATATAACTCAATTTATTATTCATTCAGTTTAATATTCGTTTGATTATTATTATAGAATTTTATTCATCATTTCATACATACCTCGATTGCAAATGATCAGCGGTTAGAGAATAATACGAAATCATGGTTTTACTGTTTTGGACAAACAATTCCGGAATATGTACGTAGGCCGCAGTTTTGTCTATATTCATTCCGTAGACTGTGACAGCCGGTACTCTGGAAATTAACGCATTTTTCGACGTGCAATGCGCATACAATCGTACGCAGCCAAAATTATCGGGCCTCGACAATTTCAAAACCTTTTCCGAAACAAATTGCTTGTAAAAGACGCTGACCCACCAGTCAGGATTGGGTGTGAGATTCGGTGATACCATAGCATAATTCCCGCCGAATAATGATTGTCTTGTAACGACGTCTAATCCCGCGCTAGCGCTGTATCCCAATTTATCCAACCATAAAAATCCGGCTACGAATCTATCGGACAATTCGGGTGCACCTCCGCCAAATGCAGTGCTGGTCTCAGCTATAAATTAGATTTTTTTATTTAATGCAGTCTTTGTACTATACAATAATATGTTCTCTGTTAAGAAATCTATCTTAAGAATCTAGAAAATATAGAATCTCTTAAGAAGATTACACATAATGATATTTAGAAAGATGGATTAAAATTGGAAGATGGTTTTAAAGAAAACTTATTAGAGATTTATGTACGTACAAATAGTATTATGATTTAGAAAAATAATTTTTCAAGAATAAAGCTAAAAGCGGAAAAGCAATACTGTAATGTAATATCCAATAATTTAATATTAATGTAAGATACGTACACAGCCACATAGAAATATCTTTCCCCGACTCGGCAATAAATTGTCTCATGGAATTGATTTGCGCTGGTAACCAGTTGAATGTGGAAGGTGCCACGAAATCATTGACTTTAGCCTCTCGTCCATTCAGATAATACTGATGCCAAGTGACATAATTCACAGTATTCTTCTGGCTACTCAAAAATACCTTGACATATAGCTCTCCCATTTCATTAGAATCTCCGACGTGATTAACTTCTGGTCCAACGAGAATGCTGTCGACATATCCTGCTTCGTTTAACAATTGCCTTAAATGATCGTAATCCTTCGCAAGTTCGGTCGCAGGAATTGTCACATTGAACACGTGTTTAAAGGAATTTGGTTCTAAAAATATTATCGAAATAAATATTAGGGACTACATACGCATATACTACTTATGTATACATACTTTATGATAACTTAATATTTATACTCATATCATCAAACAATTAAAATTTCTTAATTTATTATTAATTTAATATTTATATGTTAATCATTTTACATATGTTGATTTTTCACATTTATACAATTATTTACCATTTCCCAATTGCCAATCTAACGTCATGCCTTGATTCTTAGTGAATGCGATAATCTTTTGTGCGTTGCTGTTATTCCAAGATCCATTTGGATTTCTGAGCAATACATTTAGATCAAAGATCATTCGTAACTCTGACTTCACCGTAAAATCATAGATAGCAAGCAAATCTTCGCCGGAGATAGTAAAGTTGCTAATATCCTGGCCATCCACAGGACTAAAAATCTTCTCGGACGAATTTTGTTCCATCTGAATCATCATGTATGTATTAAAATATTAAGATTAAATCTACAAGCAGTTTTATAACAATTAATTATGTTCTATAATTTCGAAGTAGGTAGGAAAGATAAATAAGTTTGCATGACAAATGTGTTACTTATGAAGAATATTATATTTTGCAAACCTGATCCTGAACAAATGTCAGACAATCCGCAGAGGTTCCACCCACTCTGACATAAGCAGGACTTAAGTGATGGGCCAAATTGATAAATTTCTGTTGTCCAACAGGTAACTCATTCATTCTTCGAAGTAAGGATGTGTCGAGACCGAACGACAAGAACTTGTCGGAAACGATGTGTAATACAGGCTGCTGTCTGTCAAAATGAAATATATAGAGGCGGATTGGAACTTGGATATTGGAGCTCCATAATGAGAGAATCAACAGCGTCGAGCATAGACCCAATGCAATGCAGCAGAATATAGAACGAAAAGCTGGGCCTGTTATAGGAAGAATATATCAAGATTCATTTAATAATAAAAAAGGTATGTTAAGAAATAAAAAAATTATATGCAACATATGTATAACTTTTTACAACAGTTTTAATATACTATAAAGAATTTTACAAAATATTGTACTTTTAATTTTATAAAACCGCAAAAAAATGTAATTAAATAATTTTTTAATTTAGCTGAAGATGATTGTAAGTCAAAACATTGTCTAATGGTTTGAAAAATCAATTTTTGTTTTCTTTGTTATTGATGCTTAAATTAGTTTCTAATTTGTGATCTAATTATTTGCTTGTGTTTGATTTTTTTCTTATATTTTTTATTGTTTTATAATTCTGAGATAGACAATTGATTCTTTTGCAATTCAAATAAATTTAATGAAGAGAATTATAAAATGTTACATCAAATGATATATTATATACGTTTGAAATATGACCATGTGACGCAAAATTTCCCGGCAAGTATGGCGGCAAGATGGTCACTAACGGCTATTGTCGGCGACGTAACACTGAGAAAAATAGAACGTAATATACGATAATTGATATAATATTTTAGAAGAAGTGATTCAATCGACAGCGAGGCAAGCAAAGGCGAGTCATACATTCATCTCGCATATCTCTTCAAATACATAAGTCCTAAGTTCTAACTTACCACGTACACGCGAATCACTCAGTTCCTGATATCGGCCCTTGCCCCAGTCATTGCTTACAAAATAACTCATTGTCGTCAAGATTCTCACAGCCTAACTGGAAAACCGGAACGACCCTCTCAAATGGTCGCAAATGTCACACGCGAATTCGCCGTTCTTTTTGCGCATCAACAATTGAATGCTCCTCCGGCTTTTTGCTTCCGCTTAGCGCCGCGAGAACAATCGAGAGTATCGAAATGGGCGCGATAAAAACTATGAATGAATTTAGTCATTCAAACTCGGCACTAAGAAAAATACTCAATTTTAATAAATATTTATTTAAATAGTGCCAATTGAATATTTATTAAATGTAAGCATATATTTATTTGGTTTACAAGAACTATTAATTTAATTTAACTATTGTATTTTTTATTTAGCAAATATTTATTTTAATAAATAACTTTTAAAATGTAAATAAATGTTGTATTAGTATTCAAACAATTATTTATTGAAATTTGATACATTTTTTCTCAGTGGATTAGTGTACATTAAAGACTGTTTTATATAAAAAATAAAAAATCTTTATATAAATGCATGACAACAAAAATAATATATATATATATGTGTCATATTAACAGGATGTATATATATATGTATATATATATATATATATATATATATATATATATATCTTGTTAATATGACAATATCATTATTAGGTATTTAATTGTATTTATATACTTTTACATTTAACTTTGTTAATTTCAGCTTTTAATATGCATTATGAAATGAAACATATATACATAACTTTTCTATGAAGAAATTTTCTAATTATGATAATCACTAGAAGACTTGTAATTTTATTTCGGTTTAGATTTAGGTGGACCATGTGTTTTTTTCAGACGGACTTTCTTAACGTTTAATGTACGTTTGTTGTCTGCTTGTTCACAATAATTTTCTCGCCACAAGACTGATTCATGATTCTCGAGGCGCGAGCTAGAAGTAGATGCTTGATGTTCTGAAGAGATTACTTTGTTTACTGTGCAAGCAGTTTCCTCAGTATTGATGTACGCTTTTCTTGATTGTAATTTCTCTATTTTAGGATTCAACCAATGTTTTCGTATTCTGCAAACTACAAATAATTATACATTCAAAAATGAGTATACTTGTCTAGTATAATGTTAAGAAATTATGTTACAAGTATTAAGAGTATCCTAGTAAACTCCAATTTACAGTAACAATATATATATAATTTCCATCATGTAACTGTTACATACTATATATATTATACTTATATTATAAAATAAGGAATTATAATACTGATGTAATGTAACTCATTTTCCAGTTAACCTTATAGAAATTTAATATTAGTATTGACGAATTAATTATTTATTTTGAGTATTAAAAGTACAGTAACTATTATTGAATTTTTATAAAGGAAATATCAACTAATAATATCAATATAATTTAGTTACAATTTCATTCACAAATAGTATAATTATAACATATACATAAAAACATTAAAAATTATATCATTCAATAAATTATAACATTGGTGTTATTGTTCGTTGTTTACTGAGTTGTTAGTGATTATCAGACTATATGTATAGCTTTCGATTTTCGCAACATATGTCAATGAAAAATAGAACATATAAAAGGGAGATACACTGAAGTTTACCTTTAGCCGAAGTCTCCGCGTGGATCGAATCAGAGCTGGAATTCGAGGGACGGGAAGCGCGAGATCGACTCTTGTTCGCGGCGCGGTTCCTGTACGAAACGCTATGTCGACGCTTCCTCCTTGCAGTTAATCTCTGCCGTGACTCTGAGCTGCTCAGCTCATCCTCCGCCCAGAATTGTCGATCGGTATCATCCGAGATCGGTGGAGCCGGAACGAGCGGCTTTAAATGATTAACATCACGGCTTGTACATTATGCATTATTTATTTATTTTCATGCTTCGCTTACAGCTTCTCCATAGATGTTCGAGGCGCGCCTTCTTCTCTTCTCTCCAATGTCAGTGACACGATTTTCATAACCCTCCTCCTCGGAGCTGCCCTTCATCTTCGCATCTCCCCAAGCGCAATAATATCCCATCTTCTTATTTTACATATATACAAGTCAAGTGCCGTTGTAACTATGATGTGCAATTTACAATTATTGTTTCAACATACTGGCGAATTTTTACGATATATGTATATTCGGATAATCGATCAGACAGTTAAAATGACATGTGTAGTGTTTTTTTCATGATATTGAGATACCATCAGATATTTTGTCAAATTCATTACAATACGGATTAATTCTTTTGTGAACTTAATTCCGAGAAACTCACTAATTTTTGTTTATTTCATGTTTGCAGAAAACAATGTATCGATATTTTTAGTAGCAAAAGAAATTTATTGCTATATATATATATTGTATATATATGATGAACTGTTGCACGCGAGTATTATAATTAGCCTTACAATAGAGAGATAAACGAATTTTTTGTATGATTATATCACACATATTTTTTTCGTAAACATTAGGTATCACTTATTCTTGCATATGATGTCAGTATGTATTTTGTCAATCCTTGAAAAATATGTTTTTATTCTTCTCTCTCTCTCTCTCTCTCTCTCTCTCTCTCTCTCTCTCTCTGCCACATTTCCCTTTTTCTTCAAGCGTGTCTTTTTACATGTTTATGTACAATTTGTTAATTTAGTTTAATCGTTCTCAGATTTTCTACGTTTTTTCGAGCGCGGAGTGTCGGTATCGTGGGGACTCGGAGTGATATGACTTCGTTTTCGCTTAAGGCTATTCTCATTCGTCTCGCTACTACTGCTTGCAGCGGTTCTAGTCTCCCTTCGGAATGTTCCTTCTCCTGTTGCTTGTACCAAAATCTGAAATTAAACAACATTAGTGATAAGCAGAACTCCATTATTTATTAACATTCCGTTTATACAAACAAATTCATCCTTAGTTCCAAGTATCCGAACTATTAGCCGAGTTTCTATTACTAGAAAACTACAGTTAGTAGAAAACATAGTTCGGATAATAAGAGCTAGGCATGCTCGATTTTTCTGAACATCAGCTCCTTATCAGAATAACTAATAAATACTAGTAGAAGTAGAAATCAACTTCGATTATCCGAACCGTTATTGGAACTGTTTTGTCCTCTGTCCAGATAAACGAAATTCTATTCACTCTACTATATTCGAAAATACACAAAAGGAAGGTACTTTAAAGAATATGATAAAATGCTGAAAGTGATGTAAAAACAAAAAAAAAATAAACATATTTTTAACATTAATATTTTCACTAGTATTGTATTGTTTTTCTTTCTAATCAGTTTCCTAACACATTTTAAAATAAGCACATCTGCAGTCATTAGCAAAAAAGAGTATATTATTTGAATCAGAGTTATGAATAATAAATAGAATCTTTTTCTTGCCTGCATATGTTGCAAGCACTCTTCTTGCATTGAAACTGCCATTTTAAAGATAAATGTGTCATGTTTGTTGTACATGATCGCGTTTTGGAACATAAGCATGACGTCCCTTTGAAAATGCATGGTCGATCTAATTGTGCCGTTGTCAATATTCTTTTTGATGGTTGATAGATCCATCGGTCGGAAGATCACCGAATGATACCCAGGCGCCTGGTCCTCTGTAATCGGCCTGAGAAACACTGACGCGTATTTGTGCGTGGCCAAACGATTGTAGACGAGCATGACTGCTTTCTTCCAAGCACGATAATCCGCGCCCTCTCCAGTGCTCTCATTTTCTGGCTCGCTGTCCACAGCAATGTTCTGTTTCTTGGAATACGTCTTCATCGCCCGGTTGCTACTCAATTTGCTCAACGATGACTCCTCCTCATCTAATTCTCCGGGTTCTTCCACGATTGTAGATTCTACCTCCTTCTTTATGCTCTGCTCGCCTTCCGTGGTTTTCGTGACATCATCTTTCTCCTCTTTTTTCTCCTTCACTTCCATTTTCTCTTTCTTGTCTTCCTCCGATGAACTGTGAAGCGGGCTCTTCCTATGGAACAAATCGCTAGCTTCCGGTTCCGTTTCGACTTTTGATTCTTTAGATTTGATCTCTGCACTCTCCGTTTTCTTAATATGTATTTCTGCGTCGGCAGTCGTGGCCTCGACTGGCTCGCTTTTGACACTTTTCGCTTCCTCTATGATCACTTGTTTAGTATCCTCGTTTTCATCAGTCGGTCCTTTGTCGGCCTCTTCCTCTTTGACTTCTACATTCTGTAAGATGGAACTTGTAGCATCCTCTGAGAAATCTTTGATCTTCTCCTTCTTAAGCTCTATGCCTATCTCCAATGTTTCCTCGTTCGTTTCTTCTGTTTGTGACTTTATCGAAGATTCTTCTTTTATCTCCACAACATTCTTTTCTTTTATCGATTCCTCTTTAAACGATTCTAAGGATTCAGTGTTTTCAACCGTGTTTTCGACAATCCGCTCTTCTGTCATCTTCTCTTCTTTCTTTTTACTTTCCGTGCTTTGATTGCTCTCGTCGTCCTCTAGGATCAAGCTAATATCTTGCGATTTTTCCGTATCTTCGGCATTGGGTAGATCATTCGTCACCTCTGAAGAAATGCTGACAATCTCCGCGGACGGCACGTCCTGCTGATCCCCTGTAATTTTCGCCAAATATATTTCTAATTGATCTAATCCCGCATTATGTTTACCTTCAATGTCTTCTGGAGGCTCCTTCCGTTCTTTAACGCTATCGGATGATTCTTTGTAAACAGGCGCAGTGACTTCCGTTTCCTCTTCCTCTTCCTCTTCCTCTTCAGCTTCCTCTTCCATGTCTTCTGTAGTCTCGTTTATCGTTTCCTTCATATCGCCCAAAAGTTTAGAATTATTTTTCTCGATCTCTACGTTCGATGAGGCATCCATGGATTTTGTTTCAGCGTCCGATTGTTTCTCTTCCATTGGAGTATCGTTACTAGTTTCTTCATCTTTGATTTCTGTCTTTGGAACAAGCTGTTCTGTCAAAGTCGTCCTCTTTTCACACGTACTTGTCTCGGATTTGGTCTCCGATGTGTTTGGTATGGTCTCTGTGATCTCCGTGACAATAATTTTAGGTTCTTGTGAATCGATGGCGACGGTTCCAATAATCTCGGCAATATTTGAAGTACTAGAATCAATCTCCTCAATTGCCATTTCGCTTTGTGGCGAATCGGATAGCGACACAGCCTCATCCACATCTCTCGGTTGCGGCTTTGGTCCTGTTGTAGGTATCAGCACTTCTGTTGCTTGTTGGGACATACTGGTAAGACTGTTGATAACTGCCGTTGTCGTCGCCGTTGTTGTTGAGCCACTCGTGTCTATCGTCTGTGGACTACTGGGAATATCTTCTTTGATTTCTTCCTTGATCAATTCCTCGATGTCGCCGATGATGTCGTTTATCTCATCCTTATCCATCACGTCCACCATTATATCTTTACGCATTACGTCTATGTGATCAATTATTTGCATCTGCATATTCTCTGACACCGGCATATTTGTCGAGGTAGTGACGGTCGCTGGAACTGTCGACATTGTTGTTGCTACTATTGCTTCGTTCTGGATAGCCTGTTGGACTTGAGTTTGCGATTGCGCCGCTTGCTGGAAATTGTGCACTTCGGAGGTGACAGCCACAGTTGTGGTTGTCTGTTGCTGTTGCGCATGGGATACATTTGTTGTGGGGGTTGTCGTTTGCAAATTTGGTAGGGATCCTCTCTGTGTACTCGCTGGCATTTCCAACAGCATAGAGAGCGTAGGAGCACCAACGGACGGCCGTTCTGGTGTCGTATTCGCGCTGGCTATAGCCGTCGAGACCAACTGCTGCAATTGTGGCGATACCTTTTGTGCCATCTGTGCGTTTAGTGCTTTAGGACTTGATCCAAGAAGACTGGTAATAGTCGGCGAACTCACTTGAACCGGAGTGGATGGAAAGGATTGCGCAGTCTGAGTGGTTGGGCTGGGAGATTTCAGTAGACTCGTCAATAATGGAGATCTACCACCTCTGTTAATTTTCTTTTCTTCATCGTTCTCCGTCGATGATTCCGTCGCAGTGGGTTCCTGCAGTACCTCTATTGTACTTTCCACTGCTTTGCGAGTTTGGGTTACAATTGAAGTCGAGATGGATGGAGAACTCATATCCTGCTTCTGTTGTTGTTGACGTTTTGCCAGCCACGCCATGTGAGTCCGTGTCTTTTGCTCCATCTCACGTTCTTCTTGTTGTATATCAAGCCACATCTTCTCCAACTTCTCGTCGCTTATTGCACTCGATTTGAAATGATTCAAATCCGCCTTGAGTCGTAGATACTCCTCCCTCTGACGGTTAAGCATTTGACTCAACTCGGTTACTCTCTCTTGTGTTAATTTTCTGACTATGGATTCACCAGTAGTCTCGCCACTCTCCCGCTTCTTTCTTTTTGGCGTATCAGCATTTTCCAGTAAACATGCATATTGTATGGCACACAACTTTGGCGAGAACCAGTCTGTGGGTCTTAATGGTTCTTTTTCAACAAATGGTTTCAATGATCTGGATACACTTATCCAATTTTGATCCCCAGATTTCAGTACACTTGATGCAAGACATAATTGTTCTCGTGTAGACCATGTGTCACAGTTCGAGCTTGTACGTTTGAATTTCATTCCTGAAATTTATGTTTTTAATTAAATATCATCTACCTCTTCTTAGCTTATATATGCTAAAGTAAATTAATTTAATTCTAATTAAATACCATTTAACTATCTTTCACATAAATAAAAAATTAAATAACAGAAATATCATATATCATAGGAAATATCATGTAAAAAGATTACAAAATTGATTAAATGAACTTTATTTCATACACTTAGTAAGTAATCGTAAGACAAAAATTTTAAATAGAGTATCTTAGAACTACAAATATTAAAATAAACAATATCTATTTTAGTCAAATTTCCTTTCATTATTTTACTTTTTTCTTATTTTTTCTCTTAAAAGCCATCTTTAAATATATAATATAAATATATAATAAAATATTTTACATTTAAAAATAAAGAATGCAATTAAAACAAACAAGCAAAATTTGCGCAAGTAAAATTCTTTTACGTTGACATTCTTTGTTTGGTGGTATAGGTTAGTGACATCATTATTTCATTTCGGACATCTGTCCGAATATCTATTTATTTTAAAGCAGATAAAACTAGCATATTCCAGAAGTAACGACAAGTATAGAATGAGATTGTCTGAAATCTATTCATTTAAAGTCAAAATATGCATTGAAATTCAATACAATTGTCTTAACCTATAAAAGCATCTTTTGTCACAAGTCGAACTCACTGTCTTGCATCGATGCCATTGCTCTTCTTTCTGAAAGATTCTAAACTCAGAGCAATTTACGAGATATGCGTAACTTCGCGACTAATTCGTTACTGCGCTTTGTCACAACTCTTCGAAAGAAACAGAAAACAAATTCCATTCCGATATTTCCGCAGAACGATACAAGTATATTGTAACCCGAATCTATTGTATTCAGAACATTTTTTTTTCGATAAAACGCTTTTATTTCTTGGGCTACATTTCAAAAACTTTCTCTCTGGGAAAAATTTTACTCGAAATATATAGTACACGTAACGTATACTATATATATAGTATATAGTATAGAGTAAAATCTTCGGAGAGGAAGTTTTGGAACGTAGCCTAAAATTCTATAGTATGCGTAACGTAAATTATAGCATGTTAGCATGCTAGCATCGTTGTAAAGCCGGAATCAGACTATGCATTGAAGATTGAGATTAAAGATTAAAGATTGAAATTTCACCAATGAAAACAAAGAAATTTTGGCTCCTTTTGTTCTGATTGGTCAAACTTCAATCTTCAATCTCATTCTTCAATGCGTAGTCTGATTCCAGTCTAATAGATCCGTTTCGCGTTGCTTGAAATTACCAAAACTTAAAAGAAGATAAAAGGCCTGTTCTTTTTGGCTATACTTTTGCACCAGTTCATCTTTCTTCTTCTTCTTCTTTTTTACTCTTGAAGAAAAAAGGAAGAAAGATGAACTGCAAAAGTTCAGCTAAAAGAACAGGGGAATGCTCGACTGTAGTTGGTTAATTCTTATATTCTGATCCGGTTTAAACTCTCGGTGGAAACTAAGCCAATGTCAACATCGCAACATTGCATACGGTGTACGCAATACGATGGCAAGATTCTAATCCAGCTAGCAATTCAGCAAGAAAACAAGCATCGTGTGTCGTAGGCTTAGAGTCTGAGCACAAGAATTGTCATAACTCTTATGCATCGTCTACAATACATAGAGTAAGAAGTAAGAGTAAGAAATTGACCAATCACAGTCGAAGTGAGTCGAATGTGAGAAGAATAATCGATTGTGATTGGGCAATTTCTTACTCTTACTTCTTACTTCGTATATTGTAGATGACGCATTACTTAGACTTAAATTGTAGATGTAAGTAACGCACAAGCTTTTACGTATGACGTACAATTTATTGCCGTGTCTCCAAGAGACGGCAATAAATCGTCCACAATACATGATTTTTGATAGGTTGAAATTCTTATTCTCTGTTCCTTATTCCTTTTATTGTGCAGAGCCTCTAAAGCCGGTTCATTAGTTGTAAGCCGATCGTAAGTTTGCTGCGACAGCCAATCTGAAGCTTGCATTTTGAAATCGCTTCATATTGACTGTCGCAACAAACTTGCGATCGGCTTGCAATTAATGTAAAACCGGCTTAAAGTGGATCGCACCCACTGAGTGCAAAGATATGAGCAACGCGAACAGACCTATGTGTCTTTGCGAAACGTGGACCGGACAGCTGATTTCGAACTTGCGCGACGGAACGCAGGAACACAGAAACGTCATGAATTTAGGAAACCTGGGAAAACATGAGAAACGTAATGGCGGAAAGAGTAGAAACTGTCAAAGTATGTGTCGATACAATTTGTCCCTCATCGCCGTGAGTGGAGATAACGAGTGAAACGAACATTCAAATTACGCTGTACGGAAAGTTCTCCTCGAAGACATCAATCGTTTTGTGAGATTCGTCGTATACTCCGCCACACAATGATGAATCATCGCAGACGTAGCAACAATTTCACATACGTCAGTTCGTGCGTGAAATACATGATCTTCATGCTGAATTTCGTCTTTTGGGTGAGCGATTCGTTCTTCTGCTTTTCTTTCTATGCTGCATACACGCAAAATGAAATTCGCGATTTGTTCCAAGACAAGATAAAGGCTGTTTTCCTTTTAAGAGAAACAGTTGACATAAATCGTTCTGTCTTTCTTGAACCAAATTTACAATATATTTTTGCTTTCTACTTCTTTTTTTCTCTTTGCGATCGTTTTATCGATAATCACATTTCTTACAATGTGTATTTTTTCTCTTTCCAAGTTTGTCAACTTTCAAGTTTACTACAATATTTTCTTTGCCTTCCTTTTTTTATTATTTTTTATTACTTTTGCCTTTTATTTTATTTCTTCGTCTTTTCTCGTGAAAAATGATAAACTTCAAAGGAGATAAGAAACACATAGCAAGAAGTACGATTATCAATGGAAGTTTTACAGTCGTAAAGAGGAAAAAATGCAACAAATAAAAGAAAAGAAAAGAGGAAACAAAGTGTACATTAGATTAAAGTTCGTCTTGATTGACATAAAATGAAGAAACAGGATATGAGGCAAAAAGGCAAGAGATAAAATGTAATAAAAAACAAAGAACAGACAGCACAAAAAGCAAACTATAGATTATATTTTGAATGTCTTTATTTATTAAGAATGATAGAATGACATTTGTGTCGATTGTGTCCTGAAAGGAAAGCTTGTTGGAAAAGATATATATTGATTTCGAATCTGCTGACATCGATAACCTAGCTAAATTTAGATATCAGTCTGTCAACATCATGTCTAGACATTAGAGGAAGTAGAACAAAAGTTAAAGATAATATAAAAATGATATGGTCATATATGACGATAAGAGACAAAAATAATTTTTTTTATGCTTAGCTGTTTGGTGGACTGCTAATCGGCGTAGGTCTCTATGCATTTCTGGATAAATGGCAGGCAACTGGATCTGTCAGAGTGGAGAACGTCTACGATGTGGTCTTGAATATTTCTCTGGTGATGCTAATAGCTGGTGGAGTAGTCTTCGTTGTTAGTTTTGCAGGATGCGTAGGAGCTCTTCGTGAAAATACATGCCTTCTTAAATTTGTTAGTTTTTTGTGTACAGAATATTCTACAAGCAACGCAAAACATGTGATTGAGTGACTGAATGATTTTTTTAGTATTCACTATGTCTTTTGGTGTTTTTCCTCTTGGAGATGGGTGTGGCGATCGTTGGTTTTGTATTCCCGCACACATTGCAATCTATTTTGGAAGAGTCGTTCACGGACAAAATAATTCAGACATACAGAGAAGATCCAGATCTGCAAAATTTCATTGATTTTGCCCAACAAGAAGTAAAGATCATGAATAAAATAATTAATAATAATAAAAACACATATCTTACATTTGTACAAGTTATTCAATTTCGTACATGCGAGTGAAATATTCATAAAATTTTATATTGCAGTTCAAGTGTTGTGGTTTAAGTCAAGAAGGATACTTAGATTGGGGGAAGAATGAATATTTTAATTGCACTAGCCCTAGTGTAGAACGTTGCGGTGTACCGTTCTCTTGTTGCATAAACGCTACTGATATATCCGTACGTATATTATTTGTTGCACTTATAGAAAGTCAAAGATAATTGAAAGATATTATTTTGGAAAGACATTTTCAATTATATTCATTGCTGAGATAAATCAAGAGAAGAATCAATGCTAAATCTTGATGCCTAATATTTATATCTAAGTTTTAAATACATCTTCCCATTATTTAAATTGTGCGCTTATTATCCTTGATTACTCGAAACGCTAATCATAAACTGAAATTGAAATATTACAATTACATTGAGCGTCAATTAATAATAATGCTAATGATCATCTTAAAACATTGTAAAGAACTTAATGAGAAATTTACAAATGAGATAATTTCAATTTTCAGAGTGGACTTGTAAATATAATGTGTGGCTACAAGGTCCAGATGTTACCAGTGTCCGAAGCGAGTAAAAAGGTGTGGACCAGTGGATGTATCGAAATTGTACGTAGCTGGGCGGAACGTAATCTCTACACTATAGCTGGCATTGCTCTAGGCATTGCGCTCAGCCAGCTCTTTGTGATCTATCTTGCAAAAACGCTGGAGGGTCTTGACTTCAGGCCACCTACCGTTACCAGATACATTCTGCGACCAACAGGCAGGTGGCTAGTGGCGGACGATCGCGCGGTTCGCAGGACACAGAGACAAATATAAATGCGCGAATGGCATTGCTTGTCCTTTTCGCGATCTCTTTATACATACTGTGCATTTTGTCCCTCATCAAACTCGTCCTTTATTTCAAGAATTTCTTTCACATGTACGTGAGTAAAGGATAATACGTCATCGATGGTCGATAAAGCCTTCTTTGTATGTTAGAGGATACATTCGTGATAAGAGGCATCGATAAAAATCTTGCATAAAAATTATATACACACGCGGGTGCAGAAATGGTGTCCTGTGCGTTTACAATGGTAAAAACTTTTTTTTTTTTAATACTCAGGAAAACATACCTTTTCGCTTATCTTATGTAGTTAATTGCATGACTCAAATACTTTGCGCTTGCATCGATGAGTTACGTGTCGTGCGATCATGTTCTTATGAATGTTGCATGGGACACGATTAATGCATTCGTCTGGTAACACGCGACTGATAATTCGAATTAAAGACAAAAGTGAGAGAGATATTTAATTCCATTATAAATTTTGTAATATGTATTTCATGAACATGTTACAATATGTTACATTACATTACATTGCATAATAATGTTATAGAAAAATCGCTGTATTTCATGATAATATTCGTTTCGCGAATGTTATTTCTTCCATGAGCCAATTTTTAAATTTACATTTTTTTTCGTTTTACCACAATTTCAATGTACTTTGTGCAATATATAGAGGCAATTTGCTTAAATTAAGATATTCAGATCTGATATCATCTTGTCTTTCTAGCGTGAGATAGTTCGTTACAGTGTATCATTTTCAGCACATTGACACAAATTGAAATTGTTTTAATGGTAATATTGATGTACTACTATTAAGGCCCAATTTTTCATTATTTGGTGTGGTTAGGCTTAATCTGATGTTTCATCCAATGGGCTTCACCCCTGACATCATTATAGAGTGAATATAAAGTCTAACTATAAGTTAACCAGAAAATGAAAATCCGGGCCTAACAAGTGACATAGAAGCTTATTTCATAAATCTCGAAGCACAATAGGTGTAGTAAACTTTAAATCATAAGATATCGATCAATCGAATACAAAGAAAATTATCGATTATGATCTGTTCTTTTTTCCGGTTTAAAGTTTGCTGTATCTATTCTATTTCGGGACCGATGCTTCATTTCTATTAATGTAGATTAACTTTAATCTTGGTTTAATTTACTTTGTACCTTTTTTAACTCTTAAAACTAAAAAAAGATGAAGAGTTAGTTAAACCGAGATTAAACTACATTGGTAGAATCGTATGAGATTCAGATAACATCGATAGTTGTATACACATTTTCACGCATACGTTCCATTAAAATATGTAAGTTAGAACATAATGAATTTGAGATTAGATATGAATATCATCTTGTAAATTAATCTTGAAAAATTAATTTGCTTTACTAGCTAGATATAAATCAAATTATCGAATTATATTTCTTTTTCTATATTATTAAGCGTCAAATGTATTTAATTATTAAGATAATACATATATAAGCAATTTTTACTTCTTTTTCTTTTGTAATTAATATTTACAAACATATTGTTATCCTATAAATAAGTGAATGTACGTGCACTGTTGAACTTACGATACTGATAATTATTAATGGTAATTCTCATTCACTTGTAGTGTATGCGATGCCATATTTATATTATGAAACTATGAATGAGCGCACAATTATTTGAATATATAACTAATTTATACTTCTCTGTTGCTGCATTAGCGTAACTCATATGTATGAGACAAACGTCCAGTGCCAAAGTCAGAATATTGTTACTCTTTTATTTTAAACAAATCTGACAATAATCTGGTATAAATGATTTATTTAACGCATTTAAGTGTCTCTTTGTCAAGAATAAATGTAAAACTGATATAAAACCTTCTAGTTTGTAATAAACAAGTATTATTCTAAGAACTGTGTTTTTTAGCCATTATGGATAAATCAAATTATATAATTAAATCCTATATATCATAAGTAGCATAAAGTACACTGTATTTCGATATTTATGCAGTTAGTGGATTATTATCTGTTATTTTCAAATTGAATTTCAAATTTCATTATAACAAAAGTTTTATATATATAATACTTATTTATATAAAGATGGATCTATTACATTATCAGGTACATTATCAGAATATTCTAAAATAACTCGCTCTCCATCAAAAATAGCCAAATCTTTAAATAATTGCGTTAAAGGTGTATCCATCTTACTACATATTAGATCTCCGGTAGAATGACGGAAGAGTTTTAACTTATTTGTGGTGGTTGTGTTATTATTGTTGGGAATTTTAAGTGTGTCCGCTATTGAATCTATGCACTTGCCAATCGTCCAGTTCGTATTGACAAAAGCCCCTTTCGAAGTGCCTATATGTTTATTTTTTACTGTCAACGGCAAATGTACAAGAAAGTAACTTCTCTCGCTCGTTGGTACATTTTTAGGACCAATCGCAGAACATTTCACACGCATGAGTTGTACCTGCAAGTAAAGGAGGATTGAATTTATTAGAGGAAGAAAAATTTATTTGCGTTTATACTTCTATTATATAGAAATATTTTTAGTAAAAGTAGTCATAAAACTAACATACTTTATTTGCCAATGCTACATTTTTAGATTTCTTCAAACTATCCGCAATCTGTTGATCTACTATAGCTTTTGCTTCCGCAAATTGTTTCTTTGGTATCTGCCACTTCTTTAGTTTCTGTATCTTCTCCGTTTCACTCAACTCCAAGCATCCATGATGTCTGTGTGTTACACAAAAATGCTTTTTACACTTGATACAAGGCATCTCAACGGGTGATGCATCTTTGCAAGACTCTTTAGAGCATAGAAAGTTTGCCGATTGTTCCACAACAGATTTTGAGTTCTCTGTTTTCAAACACTCATGCGATTCCATATTGAAATGCTCTTTACAGAAAGTGATCTGACAATGCTCACACACAAGTGGCAAGAAGTCCAACAATTTGCAGTCTTTCACTGAGCAGTGTTTACCAGTCTCCGGAAATTCCATTGTGATGTAGCAACGAATTAAAATTATAATCGACTTTATTGTGTTTTCTGGCAATTAGGGAAATTGAAAGTTATATCTAGTTGTGCAGTGGTGTTGGAGAATGCAGATGATTGTCGCTGAGAGAGCTTAATGCCAGATTATTCCACTTCTGCTCCAATTCCTTCAACGTCATATGAGAATCGCCGTTGTCGCTTTCAGGATCAGGCAACTCAGCTACTGGCGTCGAGATGTCATCAATGGGTAGACGTTCCTTGCGCCAACCCTCATCGATCACATCTATCAACCTGCCGTCTCCACATACCTGACTGTCCATCCCGTAAACGACGGTCAACACACTTAGGCTTGAGAAAACATTGTTGTACTTACAATACTATCTCAAGAGATTAAAGAATTTTATATTGTTTGAATATCATGTATCTAAATCTTATATGAAACAAATACAAATTATAGTATAAAAAAGCATAAACGCCAACGCTACATTTTATTGCAAATTAAAATATTATAAACATTTATTGTATTTTACAATGTGATATAAAATATATAATATATTTTATATCACATTGCGAAATACAACATATTAAATATAATAAACGAATATTTATAATGTTTTAATTCAGAATACAATCTAGCATTGGCGTTTATGCTCTTTTATCCTATAATTTGCTTTATTCTTAAAGCTGTTTATATTAAAATTTTATATGATTTATATGTATGAATCAAATACAATTATGTACAGCATTTGATTTAATCAAATTAAATATTTGGACCTCTTAGAAGTCAAGCTGATGAACTCTACTTTTAGTACATTTTTTAATTTTAACATATTAATTTGTAATTTTATTAATTTTTTTCCTTTAATTAGTTTCTCTATTTCATAGAGTTAATCAATTTGATTTGGTGTTTCTGAGAGGTCCATTGTAATTGATTTTCTCTATATTTAAAAAATCCTTTATTCTAAAGTTTATTCCTTTTAAATGAAGAGCAGACTTCCAAAATGCATTTTGTCCAAAACTTATAATTTTCAAAAAACGAGAAAGAAACCACAAGAAAACTATACGTTTTACAGAAAATAACAATTTGCCAATCAGTAAGATATACAATGTTAAACAAAATTGCTAAACTATTTCTAATATGTAATGTTAAACAAATGCATTTTATTTGTCTTAAGTTAAAGGACATAATATATTTCGAATGTCTAGACTTTTTTCAGCACATAAATATATGGTGAAAAAATACTTTCAGAACATAGTAGAGCTTATGTCTAATTAAAAAAAAAATGAAATTTGAACAAATGCATTTTGGAAGTTTGCTCCTCAAATATTCTTTATTCTAAGTTTTCTATTCTAAAATTAGCAATATGTATTATCTTACTAATGTATTATCTCTCTAATGTTATTATATGAATAGAATAGCTCAGGGAAGGGAGAAAGAATTTTAAGTGCAAAAACATTTATTTAGAATAGAAGAAAATGAAAGTAAAATTAGAACTTTCAAGATTCATAATATACATGCAAATTGTAATTGTTGACTTTCATTTTCAATAATTAACATATGATTTAGACAATTTCCGAATACTCACCACCGAATGAAATGTTCGAAAATCCCTGATTTATATGTATTCGTAGTTTATTCAACCTTGTTCAATTTTATATGCCTCAAGATGAGCAGAATCGGCAAGAATCAGTAAATTTGGGCAAAATTCGCGAGATCGTGAGCATGAAATAACGAAATAGTATTAGATGGATTATATTGCTATACTAATTTAGTGTTTTTAGGACTACGTGGACAAATGTATGTATATAAAGGCTGGTCCACACATAGTCATAGGCCAGTATTTATAGGATGCTTTCCATTCAATGACACAAATCGACACAAACGTCATTCTATCTTTCTTGATCTATTTAGAGAGTAACAAAGATAGAAAGACACTTCTATTGATTTGTATCAAATGGAAAACACCTATGTAATTGGTTCTTATATTTGAAATTGTTTTAAGTACAGTCTTAAGACGTTATAAGCCAATCAAAGAGCTGTATTAGCATCTTAAGACATCTCAGGACGTCCTTAAAATTAGAATATAAATATATATCATAAATATCGGCTATAGGTTATTTTAAGATCGTTTGAAGTACAATGTAAGAATATTCTTCTATATTAATATATCAATTCTTACACTGATTTTAAGATACTATATAATAACATCGTAAGATTACATATATTGAAGACAGTATTAATGCTAAGTTCATTCTTTTCAACTAAACCTCTTTCATTATTTATCTTTCCTCCTTTTCCTCTTTTTCATCGTGAAGAAAAAAGGAGGAAAATTGGAGTAAGATGGAGCAATAAGCGCCATCAGCTGTTTTCATCATAAATGATTTGAGGCTGACGTCCCATAAGCGGAAATTTACAGCGAAACGGAACAGCGAGACCAATCACAATTGTAGAAAAGAAAGCAGAGTAATGACTGCCAATGACCGTAGAGTTGTGATTGGTCGCGCTGTTCCGTTCCGTTGTAAATTTTCTCTCATGACGCCAGCTTGAATCGTCATGACACATGATCGTGACAAATGATCGGCGGGAAGGGGTCGCATGTTGCGTGCGGGAAAAATTCGCGCATTCCCGCGAGATCGAGGTAATCAATTGTGATAACAGAGTCGTGGTGATTATTTTCGCGCGTAGTTCCGCGGATATAACATATAACACCACCGAACATATAATACCGTAATGGCGACGCCGACCAACAGCGACTGTAACCTCGTCGACGAGTTCGAAGAATCATTTCAGGTAAAACGAGCATTTTACATTGCTCCGTATTATTGTTGAATGTACCGCATATTATTATTCGTGTCGATATAATCGAGGAATATTTTGCCGATGATGACATTTCTTTGTAAAAGTGGCATACCGAATGTAAAACTCAAAGTAGAATTGTCACAATAAATTGCTCTATTATTGGCATATCTTATTGTCATTATTATCGTTACAAAAAAATTTTTAAGTAGAAATTGTATTTTTATCTGAAATATATATGTGGTTATAAGTAGGTTTATCATAACGATGCGGAAAAATAATTGTATATGTAGGGCGTCCAAGAATAACCGCTAAATATTTTGTGTACTTGTAGAACGGATAATCGGATTAAACGAGTCGAAAAATCCTCTTTTCATAATAGTTAACAAGATATTAATTATTAAAATCGTCGAAAATTGTCGAAAAATGGTTTTCAAATATTTTTTATTCAAGTACTATCAACTTTATCGAAAAATAGCGACAAAAATTATTGATTTTCTTAAAGTTCTGAGAATTTTTTCAGAATTTTTTAGTACCGTATTTTCTTATGTTGATAAAAGTTGCCAATATGAAAATGTAGTATCAAAAAGTTAATAAAAAGTTCTGAAAAAATTCTTAGTGCTCTATCTATAGAAGAAAATTAACAATTTCTGCTCTTGCTGGTTTTCTATAAAATTAATAGTATTTGAATAAAAAATTATTGAATATCAATATTCGGCGATTTTTAGTAATTGTCTTGTTAACTATTACGAATTGCAAAATGGTAGAGTACTTTTCTACTCAGCCCACTCTAGCACACGAAATATTTGGCGGTTATTTTGGGACACCCTGTATATGAATTTCTTTTAATTTTAACTACTAAAGACTTTAACTATTATTTGATTCTAAATTTGTTTCCAAACATTCAACACTGCTGAAATGTTTTGGAATATCAAAACAAGTTATATTATTGAATGTTAATTATTGTTTTTCAGCAATGTTTAAGTATATTGACAAAAGACGAGGGATTGGGCAACAGTGGAACCGGTGCGTCTGGTGGTTTGACAGTGGATAAAGATGAAGGTCGCGCGGAAATAGAACAGGCTACCATGAGATTTATAGATTTGGCCAGGCAGATGGAAGCTTACTTTTTACAAAAGAGATTTCTCTTATCTGCGCTGAAACCCGAGATGTTAGTTAAGGAAGAAATCAATGAACTAAAACTGGAGTTGGCACGTAAAGAAGAACTGATAAAAAGACATAACGACAAGATTGCTGTCTGGCAAAATATGTTGTCGGATTTGCAGGGATGGGCGCAGTCACCTGCTCAAGGCCCAGCGCCCAGTGGTAATATGAGACTAATTTAATAATGATAATTACAACGGATTCAATGGGTAATAATACTGATATTAATGCCAATAGGATTACCCAATGGAAATCAAAGCGGACAGAATCAGCAGGCTACAGGTGGCAGTGGTAACGCTTCAATGCAGCAACAACAGCAAATACTACAACATCAGCAGCAATTACAACAGCAATTACAGCAGCAACAACAGCAGCAGCAGCATCCACAATTGCAGCAACAATTGCAGCAGCAAATGCAACATCCATTGCAATCACAGGTATTTAAGTGATGCCAAAGTTAAAATTTTCCTATTCTTCAGGTAGATTGTTATTAAATTGAAAGTAAGCTTTTTTAATAATTAAAAGAAAAGTGAAGAAGAAAAAGTGTGTGAGAAAGAAGCGATTGATAGTACGATTGAAGAGTGAAACTAATGAAAATTATATAAATGAAGATTATAATGTAGAATTTCCTATGATGGAATTTCCTTCGTCGACAAGCAATTTTTTTCGTGTAATCTAAATCCATAAATTGTTCGTATAATTTATTTATCTTCTCTTTTTAACGAGGTTTTATGTTAAATCTGTTTTTGTATTATGCAGTCATATTTATATTACGGGACTAGCTTTTATTTCTCTAGCTTTTTTATAATAATATATATCATAATTATATTTATTGTGATATATAATATAAATAGTGTATTACAATGCATATATTTGTATACATTTATATGTATTTATGACATAGTTAAAGTGTTAACTCATGAAATCTATACATTTACTGTAGTCTACTGTAGTCAATGTACACATCAGATCTATTCAATTTTAGCTTTGGAGCGAAAATGCAAAGCCATTAACGTAAAAAAATTCAATGTGGGTAAGATTTTGAATCGAGAAATGTAAAGTGTTAAACACGTGTCTGAACAACGCTTATAAACACTTTACAAAATCTTATCTACTTTGAATTTTTTGCATCGAGCAATCAATTCAGCTTTGCAACTAAAATTGAATAGGCCTGATATACATTTACTAAAGTTAACACTTAATACTTTAACTGTGACATCTGACATGTACATATAAATAGAAGAATTTCTGTTATTCATATCTGAGATGTGTGATTGTTTAAATGTATGAATACGTTTGTGCAAAAGAAAATGCATGTGTGAAGAATAGCATATCAAAATATTATGTTACTAAGTAAACATATATTCTTTCTTTCTTTTTGATCATGATGGAAGGATTACATGGTGCTCAGTTTGCAAGCGTCTCTCTTTCTCTCTCTCTCTCTCTCTCTCTCTCTCTCTCTCTCTCTTTCTCCCTCCCCCCCCCCCCTCTCCCTCTCTAATTCTCTGTCTTACACAGTGATCGTTCGTAAATCTAGTTTAGCCAACCTTAGTTGTTGTCTTCGTCGCACGGACATTATTTAGGTTCGGTCTCTTTTTATAACGTACTACTTGATACTATCAATGTTTGTTCACATCGCATCCTACCTTACTCACTTTAACGCGTTCGTAGGAGCAATAAGAATTGTAAGAATTGAATTTTAGAAATATATGCTCAAAATATCTATACTTTTTTAAATATCTAAATTTATATATATATATTGGGTCACCTAAAAAGTATCCGCGGTACTTTGTCACTAGATATATGACCATCAACACACATCTAGTGACAAAAAACCGCGGATACTTTTTAGATGACCCAATATATATGAATTCTGAAATATTGTACGTAAGAGTCGTATAAAAAAATTTGAGATATTTTCTGAACAGTTACAAAATGATACAGAAATTCTAAAAATTCAAAATTTTTTAATATGTAAATTATAAAATAGTATAAGATTTGTATAATGTTCTATAATTTTCTAATTGTATATATATGAATTTTATATATAATTATATTGTGATGTCAATATATCTGTATATAATTATATATAAAACCTTTTTCTTTGGATAAAAATGAACAAATTAATACATAAATATAAATAAATAAATAGGTACAGTTTGTACCAATAATACTTACAACGTATAATCTTCAGGGTACTTACGGAATTATTCCGTTTTTCCTAGAAAACATAATAGAAATCTAAGGAATAATTGAATAATTCAAATAGGAATCTATTTCGAATAATGTCGTAATACGTATTCTAATAAACTCTTAAAACGTTTGACATTTGTTTAACAGAGTTGCTCCGCTTGCTATTGCAGAGAGAAAAGGACACATAACATCTGACGAAGGTGTACAGAGATCAGTTGTAGCAATATTATTTATTTCTTTTCGCAGTTGGCTAAGCCTGGATTTACAAACGATACTTCGACTAGAGAGAAATCTGAGAGAGAATATGACGACTCAAAACCCGTAACCACAAAATGCGGCCACGCATTATTGCCTTCTGACAAAGTAGATGTAAACTACATAGCAACGTCCACTTTTCTTAGGGTTCATCGTTCATTTTTCAAGACTAGAGATGAGAAATCGATATTTGGTAACATGATGTAGCACGATTATATGAATCAAATATCGATTTATCACCTTGAAAAATGGACGATGTACATGTAAAATGATCCTCATGTCCTCTCTCAGGTTTCTCTCTGCTTTGATTGGCAAAAGGAGCGTGGTTTACCTAAATTGAGCACATCATGTCAATTCCTTCCACCATGTTTTTGACGACTGAGGCTGTGGTCTCGCTACAAATGCTTTGAAGCGTTTGATGGACCAATTAGAAGAAAGAATTTTAACCAATTAAGACTGACCAATTAAAAAACGCTCCAAAGCGTTTGCAATATCGTGTTGACTATATCCTGAGACTACGGTCCACTTGATGCTACAAATGCTTCGAAGCATTTTCTGATTGGTTAATTAGTAAAATTCTTTCTTCCTATTGGTCAGTCGAAGTATTTGAAGCGCCAAGTGGACCACACCCTGAAACTACTCACTTTGAAACGTTAGATAATTTTTTTTGAAATAATCGCTGAGGAGACAAAACAGATAGTTTCACTACGTGCGCGTGATAATTATAATGCTGTGTGTAATACCAGTGCCTTATACAATTTCTACACGAACAAAGAAATATATTGTACAAAAGAGATTAATAAATTAAATTGCTTTTCTTATAATTAACTACGATATAAAAGTATATACAAAAACAGAAATTTTCATTAGGAAAATGGAATTAATTATATGTACAAACTGTTGTAGAACGGTGCCAAAATAATGAACGATAATGTACAAAGTAATAAAAAAAAAAGAAAAAAAAACAACATGTAATAAATCTGTTAATAGCAAGAATAAAATTTAAGAATATTCATGATTGATATACTTCATATTAATAAGACCTAGTGATCACCTTTACATTTGACATCATTTCGTAAGAAAGATTCATATTTGAAAATTAGACATTTATATAGAGACGTAACGAAACTATAAACATATAGATGAATATATAGTTTTTCAGTCTTTTTTTTAAAAATATTTTTTTCTTATGAGTAACATTTATTCGCATCATATTTCTGTATTCATTCAGAAAAAATATACATATGTACATAAGAGGCTCACTCTTTTGCATGTAGATATTGTATGCATGCGCATCAAATAATGTTACGTAAATTGCATTGTAATTACGAAAATAGGTAGCAAAACATTGTTACTTGTAAATAACTATCGTCGAGCTTTTTCTAATAAATAATAGTTTAATACGTATATGTTTGAATGAAAATATACAGTGTACACATGATGAATTTTCGATATTTTAAAATAATGCAAAATAAAAACGAACACATATTTCTGTTTTTACTGTAAAAAGCAACAAAAAGTTTCTTGCAAAAAATTACCAAACTTTTATATGAACGTCTAATGTAATACGAAGGAATTTGAGTCGGAATTCCTTTTCATTTCAAGTGTACCGCAGCATGCCATGATGCCAATGACAGTCACAATTCGATTGCGCAAAACGTTTATTTTGTTATATTTAAATAAGTAAAAAGGAAAAAGGGGCTACGAGCCTAAAACATAAATTGACAAACTGTATAAATAGTTAAAAAAGAAAATAAAACTATGTCATAAAATTAAAAACGTAAATTATAATTTGACAATCAGAAGGTAAACAAAACAAACTTTTCGATCCTTGTTAGATCATTTTCAATGTGACAAATAAATTAACAATGATAATTAACAATAGAATTGTAACGTAGATAAAAACATAACAAATCAAGTAAAATTCGCATTTGGACGCAAAATTAACTAAAACTCTAAAATTAATTAAAACTCGCTCCAAATTGAGAGGAAATCAAACAAACGATTATATTGAGTCATCTAAAAAGTATCCGCCGTTTTTAGATGACCCAATAGTTGACAAATGTGCTCCTCCGAACCGTGTGTGTGTATAAGGACGAACATGTTTCTGTTAGCAAGTATAAATTATAATAATAAACGATATAATTATAATAATTAACGATGGAAGTAAATAAAAATAATAAGAGAAGTACAAATCGCAAACAATAAAAAGAAAGGTACAAAACAAATCGTAAATAATAAGTCAAAATTAAAAGAAGGAGGCAAAAATTACCTTAGATATTATAAGACAAACACATAAGAAATAATAATGATAGAAAGAGTAAAATGCCGACATTCATTGTATATGTATGATGAGTTTAGAACAAATAAATTTATAATAAGTACCTTATGTGTGTGTCAAAATGATGTATTGTCGATTAGGCAATGCAATTGGAATCGAAATTGATTATCTCTCTAGGAAGCTAAGATATAAAGTACGACATATAAAGACAAGAAGGTTGAAATGGAAAACTAGAAAGGGAAGGGGGAAAAAATAAAAAGGAAAGAATAAAGTGGAAGGGAGAGAAAGTAGGGAGAGAAGAGAAGGATAGGAAAGAGAAAGCAGTCAAGAAGGAGAAAGAGATTGAATTATTTGGGAATAAGTATCGGGTAAAGATTCGGTATCATTTTGCCTATTAAGGCTTTGTTTCTGTCTTTTAATATGAATCATTTCAGACACCAATCTCTTATTGTAAGAAGATTCGCAGTCCAAAATTCTCACATCATTCCATTTGAAATTATGATCAAAATTGATTCGATGATCAGTTATGACAGTAGGAGAACCTGTATTCTTTTTGATATCAGAGATATGTTCGTGTAGTCTCGTGCTCAATTTTCTCTTTGTCTGACCAACATAACTCGCCTCACAATCATCACATGAGATCTTGTAGACAACATTCTGATTGGATAGGAAATTAAGCTTGTTTTTTCCTCTCTTTATGAAGCTTTTTAAAGTGTTAGGAATAAGTGTTAGAAAAGGCCAATTTACAATGAAACATACTAGAAATTGGAAACTTTCGGAAATAGATTTAACATAAGGAATCGTAAAATATTTGTCTTTATTACGTGAATAGTGTGTAGTATCTTTGTTATATTTATGAAACTTTAATCTGCGTTCTATTGTAGAGAAAATAAAGGAAAGAGGATAACAGTTATTTAAGAAAATATGAATAGCATCTATCAAATTTTTTTCTTGGAATAGTGGATGTGATAATAGGATAATTTTGTCAATAAAACTGATGATGGTGACCTTTTTTATGGCACAGAGGATGATTTGAAATTAAGAAACCTTGTTATATTTAACTTGTAAGTTTCAATGAAAGAGAAAATAAATATCGGATCATTTTTCTTTCTCAGTAAAAACACTGCACTCTAACAATTATCTGAACATGCTAAAATTGTATTTCCACAAATTACACACTTACATCCGAATTACACACTTACATCGTATTCTAACATGATGGAGCTCCATCATTGGAGCTTACAAGTCTATTAAATATTAAGTACAACTTTTTTAGTTTACTTCACCAAGATACCGATCGTGAATATTTTGTACAATCAAATTGTGATTACATTTGTGACATGTTGCAGCGCATTTAGCATGAAATGGAATCAATATCCTTCATGTCACTAAAATATTCATGTGAAAGTTTGATAATTTTTTGTAAATAACTTTTATTTGTTCTTCACAATCAAAATATCCAGAAGTATGTATTTGTATGCATTTCTTTCGACATTAAAAAATATTCATTGTGTACACTTTGTATACATGCCGTGTACACCTTTTTTTTTCTCTTTACACATCTATATGATAAATAGTAATATAGAGCATTTAAATCTTAAATTTGCAAATAACTCATAAGAAAAGCATTATAGCATATATTGGTGTAGTAAAAAGAAATCCATTATTTTTCCAATAGATGGCTTTAGTAGTCTGTATCTCGTCTACAGATTACTAAAGCCATCTATTGGAAAAATAATGAATTTTTTTTTACTACACCTAATATATTGCAATCTAGGAGATACTTACGTTATTTTGACTCATAAATAGATGTTGCGACAAAATAAATATCTTTGTTCATAGCAAAAAAAAAAGAAAGAAATATTATTGTGCTTTCTTTTATTTTCCTCGCCTATTTATTATTATTCTTAGACAAATCTGACTTTGATCATTGTGCGTGTCTATCTTTTTGAACGTATGTGTGCATATGAAATATATTATTAAATATCTATTTTATGAAGTATAATGGAGTAATCCATACAATTCTTTTCTATGATATTATATCAGAGACTGAGACATAAACATTAAATGAAAGCTTATTATTTTCGCTGTACTGCATCTTCCTGCTGCCCTCATATATGTCTCATGGGAAACATCATCGTTGTGTATCGGTCCTCACGATACATCCTCATTTGATGTGACTTTGCAGGTGCAACAGGGTTCTGGTGGCCCGCCTACATCAGGTCTTCAGGGGGTTGGTGTGCCAGTCAATCAACAGGGCATGTTCATGACACAAGGTGGTGTAGGTGGCAGAGCTACCGGGTTCCCGGTCGGCGGTATGGGTAGTAGCGCCTTGCAGGGGCCCCTGGCCTACTTGGAAAAGACAACGAGCAACATAGGGATGCCAGAGAGGCGGAGTTGACGCGGAAGGGGGAGGGGCCGGGGCCGGGGTCGTGGAAGAGGCCGAGGTAGAGGAAGAGGCGGTGGTGGCAGCGGCCTACCTCCGCCGCCACCGCTTCTCGATCCCTCAGACCCGTCGTCCTACGCTGCTGCTGCCGCAGTCGCAGCTGCTGCGGCGGCGCCCCTTCCCTCTCCGCAACAGCAGCCTCCTCCGCCTTGCACATAATACGTGTGGCATTTTTAATTTCTTCTTCTGGAAGACAGAGACTATGTTTATTTCCAAGATCAAGCACATTTAGGTTGTTATGAGGTTGTGTTCGATGTCGCATTGTTGATTTGAATGTACTGTATCAATGGTGATGATAGTGATGACAATGCTGATAATTAAAGTGCAGTTGATACGTTACTGTTATATTGTGAAAATAGACACAACAATGCATACAAATATCATATAATTTATGAGCTTACTAAGGTCTACATAGTAAACGCGTTTTAACAGTGCCAGTTTTATTGTGATTCAACTTCGAATTGACATTACGACTATATGAACATTCTTTCGTACTTCTTCTGAAATTATTCTGTACGCTAAAGACAGATTTTGTATTCTTTGTACTAGTCGTAGAAATGGTAAGACGGGGGCGAGCTTATGTGGAAAATGTAAAATTGCGACGTAGAGTGACAAAAGTATGATAATATGTTGCAACTGAGCGGCAATAAATTGTACATAATAACGAGATTATGTGAGATGTGAGCAACATGATACTTTTACTCGTACGTTAAGGATAAGGATAAGGATAAGCATAAAGATAAGGATAAGGATATCTTCCTATTTCTTTATACTATATCGTTAGTTTATATTCTCTGAGATCGCCGACACTTTTATAATAAACTGCGTTCATCGCTTCTACAGTGCCTTTGGACACCTATCAAATGTACTGTTCGTGCGATATCAATAAAATGTTCATACTAGTGCATCGTGCAAAATCAAATGTGTAATATGAATATTACGTTTGTTGATCGCACTAATATAAGCATTTCTGTCCTGAATATTTACGTACAAATTCCAAATTTTTATCCATGTTTACATAAATTCTTTAAAGTATAACACACTCCGTGTGTTTGTAACCGTAAAGTACACTTATTAAATAGCATTAGATAGCATTAATATACGTAAAGCGAATTTTAAGATGTAGTTAAGATTTAAAAAAAAAATCTTAAATATATAATATCTTAATTATATTAATAATTTTATTTTTTTATTGATATATTTTTAGTGTTTATTTTTAGTTATTTGATTAATAATTTGTACCTGTATAAGTACTGTAATTTATATTACAGTACTTATAAGTACCTACGCGATGTGTCCTATGAATGCACAAAGTATAATAATAATTGTATATCGAGATACATTGTAGAATAATCAAATTTTAGTTTAAATAAGCAGTTAATATTTATGCATAATTAAAACAATTATTTTGGAAATTATTTAAAAGGTATTAGTTTTTTTACAATTATTTGTTTATATAGTTACAATGTAGATATGTACTGAAAACATTGTACAAGATAGGAATTTTGCGTGTTTTTTTAAGTCATGTGATAAAAAAGAAATATTTTATATGTGAATTGTCGCTTTAATATGATAATATAAAAACAAGTCTATTTTTCCTATCAATAGGCAATTTTTATATATCGTCTTTTACAATCTCAGGACAGAAAATGCTTATATTACTAGCTATTTTTTAAATCTGATGTATTCATATACAACATATGCAACTCTTTCATCCTGTACAATATTATATTGTATGCACTGTAGTATACATGTAGTTAATACAAATGTTAATTATATACATATACAGAGCACGCTTCCTTATTTTCACTATTCCAGCTAATTTAAATCCTGATAATTTAGATCCTGATTATAATAAGGTCTTCGAGAATATTTACCAAAAGAAAAACTCATTGTCAGCTTTAACATACAAAAGCAATTTGACTGTACAAAATTGTAAAAGAGTTGTACAAAACTTATTTTCAAAACCGTTTTATAATCGAATGTGATAATCGCATGTATAAAATGGGATGATCAGTTTCAATTTGTAATGAAAACTGATATTTTATATAGGGGAATAGTGTCTAATAGAAAAATCCTTTTTCCGGATGTTTTTTTTAAATGGGATGGAAAATCCAGTATTGTGAATTTATAAAAAGCTATTAGAATTTATTCGAAACTATTAGGTGTTGGAATTAATTCGTAGCGTTTTTTAATGAAAGAATGTTATTTATTTCACATGAGCATTAAAAAATACATTAATGAAAGTACTTCCCATCACTTGTAAAACGCTACGAATTAATTCCAACACCTAATATATACTTTTAGTTTACTAATAAAAACAATTTGATAGGTTTTATAAATATTCGTATGTGTTAAAATGCAACGAATATATAATCATTAAATTATTACGTGATACACATAGAATGTGTCTGGAGATGTCTTGGACAAATGTGAAAATTGTTTTTAAAATGAGCAACTTTCATATGTAAATGATTAAGTATTCTATTTCATTTCTTTTCCACTGCATGTATACATTACTTTTACGGGTTATATATTTTAATCGTATAAGAAGTGGTAACTTAAAAGATGTAGGCACTGCCTAATATGGCGAGGTTTAATAATTTTGATTCAAAGATTAAAGGATTGCGTGTAATCGTCGAATATTTCACAACAATCTATCAGATAGAACCTTTAATAATCTACAGATAGAAACTATTAGATAATTATTCGAGATATATCATCTTATATATGATGTAACAAATATATCAAGAATTATATATACGTATAACTTTGATTAACAAATTTATTGTTTTCTAATATTCTAATAGTAATGACAAAGTTTCACATCATGCAAAAATTACTTTACTAGCACTTGTTATTGTATCGTAAATTTTATTAAAAGATTCAAGTTTCAGCTTATTTAATATTCAGACTGTTGATAAACTAAAGATAATTTCCAAACCGCGTTAAAGCACACACATTCAACTTGCATTATTTTTAATCTTAAACTCTCGTAGAAACCTGACCAATAAGTCTGGTTTTATCTATCTAGTAAGATATTAGATTTAAAAAATGCTGTTACTGACCTGCGGCAAGTTGTTTATGCGTTTTATCATTCTGAATCTTATTACTTCGAGTCTGAATGGATCACCTATAATCCTCTCCATATTAGGCATAATTCCCCTATATATACCTATATATATGTATATTTCTATATACATATTCTTCTGTGTAAACTTTTACATATATGTATATAAAATTACAAGGACACGTTTGACGTGTAAGAGTTACGTAAAATGACCACCTGTAGACTGTTTAACAGAGCGCTTGTAGGAATTGTATAAGCGTACGTGTCGGACGCCCGGTCATTCCAGCCGGGATATACGGTAATTCGTCGTGGGCGGGACCCATGACACCAGCTATGTCCAGATGCATCCACGGCATATCCTTGGTGATAAACTCCCTCAAAAATGCAGCGGCAGTACAAGAGCCACCACCCTTGCACTTCGCGATGTTATTTATATCAGCACCTTTGACTTTTTCTGAAAATTATCGGGACATTTAATAACAGGACAGTGATCCGGAGATAATAATGAATATATAAAGAAAGAAGTTTCTAAAATAGAATTATAAAATAGATAACGTAACGCATGCATAAATTCTTTGAATCACTCACTTGTTACTTCATCCGTGAAATGTTGCCACAGAGGTAATCTCCATACTCGATCGCCGGTTACCGTGCCAGCATTTCTCAGAGTTTCGTAAAGGTTGCCGTCATTAGTAAATACTCCAGTCGCGGAATTCGACAAGGAGATTCTCATGGCACCAGTCAACGTAGCGATATCCAAGATAAATCTATATTTAAATTAAAGACACTTATTTATTTATAATTGTTTTCGATAATTTCTCTACCGAAAATATTGATAAAATATGATACGATAATATATTAATAATATAGGAAATATATTTTTGCTAAAATTAGAATCCAAGAGATATAATTCTCTTATATTAATTCTAAATATCAAGATCAATACAATTTAGTTTCAAGCAAACCTTGGGTTAAACTGTTCAGCGTAGCACAGCGCATCGGCGAGAATCAGCCTGCCTTCTGCGTCGGTGTTGTCCACGAGGATGGTCTTGCCGTTCATCGCCCGCACTAGATCTCCCGGTTTCGTAGCATGTCCGGACGGTAGATTCTCCGTGAGCGGGATCAGTCCGACGATATTTTTTTTCAATTTGAGCTCCGCTGCGGCTCGGATGGTAGCAGCCACACAAGCGGCGCCGCTCATATCTGCGCGCATCTCATCCATCTCCGATGACGGCTGTGAGAAATCGTTTACCTTTAAATCTCATTTTCTCGTTAATTATTTTTAGAAATAGAGAAAGATCGATTTACCTTAAGGCTAATGCCACCAGCATCGAAAGTGACTCCCTTGCCAACTAATGTTATTGGTGACTCGTTCGGATTCTCGGCGCCCTTGTAATTGATCTCGAGGAATTTGGGTGGTTCGATGCTACCGCGTGCCACACTAAGAAACGAGCCCATCTTCTTCTGCTCGGCCCAGCTTTTGTCATGTACCTGTACGTCAACCCCGAGATGTGTCAAAACCTCAAAGACCTGTTGCGAAAATATTGTTGGTGTCATCAGATTTGCGGGCGTGTCCGAGAGCTCGCGAGCCCAGTTTTGTGCCTGAGCTTTGATAATGCCAACTCGCCATTCTGCCCTTAAAGAATAATAAATTATTAGTTTTGTATTCTTAAACGAAATCTACATTTTTCAATTTTAATGAATGTTTTTTTATAAACATAAAGAAATATTACTTACTCTCCTTCTTCTCCGTATAGCGAGATCTTTGGTAATTTCTTTTTTTTCTCTTCATTTTTATAACCTTGATAAAGCCATGTGGATAAACCAGCTCCTTCAGCGGCAGCTTCCGCGTCTCCTAGCGTTTCTAACTTGATATCCTTTATCTCGACGTCATCTAGTGCACGGCATCCCGCTAGAAAATAAAATTAAAACTTTAATAGAATATATAATATTTTATAATATAATTTTCTTTTTAATGATTTTCCTTTAAAACCTGTTTAAAAAATCGCTAAACCATCCTGTATACTATAAACAACTGTAATTACATTATAATCTTAAACGCACAAAATAAATTAATATCATTTAATAAGATAACGTTTTAATAAGATAATGTTTTGAAATTGTTTCAATTTAGTATATGTGTGAATGTTTTTGTATTGTTTCAATTTAGTGTATGTATGTGTTTGTGTGTGTGTGTGTGTGTGTGTGTGTGTGTGTGTGTGTGTAGCTTAAAGTACTATCTAAAGAGATTTGAGTAACAAAGTGAAATGACTATATTTGCATGATACATAATTTGAATACTAAAGATTACCTGCTGCGGCAACACGTACACTTTCCTTCCCTTCATGAAGCTCCTCAAGTTTGTTAATAGCAAGACCTTGTTTTCCCAGTCCAACTACCGCGACTCCGGAGTAATCTGTTTCATCCAAACCCCAAAACACTCTAGCATGACCTTTAGGGATCTTTGGTCCTGCTCTGTAGCGCAAACATTCGTTCGAAGTTAGTGAAAAAATTTTGACCGTAACAATTTGAGGAAAGATATGCGATAATAACGCATTTAATAGACAGAAATATTCAGACACAAATTCATAAATTTATTAATTACAATAGAATCTAGGCATTCTTTTGACATTCATCATGTATGGTATATTTGCAA